CTTGGCGGATGGCAAGCTGTTGCTTCTGCTTCTGCTGGTAGTGATTGTTGTGGACGCTAAAGCCTAAACCCTTGTTGTCCTAGCACTGGAATTCTAACTGCACCTGCAGGCGGAAAAGAGCCCATAAAACCCGAAACCCTAGACCCTTACCCTGTTGTCGACCACTGCCACCAGTGCTCCTGAAGGCTCGTTCGCGCTCCTCTCTGCTTCGCCTTAAAGCTGCCCATAGGGGCATTCGACCCGTCAACTCCAACGCCCCGGATGGCTGAGACTTGCATCGGAAAGAGTGTATAGTGGCATAGGGTTTGGGGGTTTGGAGTTTACGGCGATGAGAGCAGAGTGTATAGTAGTACGGGGTTTGGGATGTGGAGTCTACAGCGATGAGAGCATGCCGAAAACAGAAGGCTCTCTCTTAGGATTCTTATGATGAGGCCCTAAACCCTAAACCCTAAACCCTAAACCCAACACCCTAAGCCCTCAACCCAAACATCCCCCAAAGCCTAAAGCCCAAGCGCCCCGAGCACAAAAGCCAAAACCTGAAAACCCCCGACAGCCCAAGGTCCGAAGGTCAAAACCCGAAGCCCAAAACCCTACATGAGTGGTTGTCAAAATTAGGGTCCTTTTTAGGGTTTAGGGTTTAGGGTTTAGGGTTTAGGGTTTTGGGATCCCTTTAATATAATACGGCACCTATGATTTAGGGTACCCAAAAAGGGACCCCTCTTTTGACAACTACCCCGTGGGGGTTCAGGGTTCAGGTAGAGTTGAGAGGCTTGGCGCTCGTTGGGGGTTCAGGGTTCCGGTGCAGGGAGTTGAGGGGCTTAGGTGTCGGGAGCCTAGGGTTGAAGCTTCGGGTTTTAGGGGTTTGGGTTTAGGGTCTACAGGGGTTTAGGGTTTAGGGGTTGGGGGTTTAGGGGTTTAGGGGTTCAGGGTTCAGGTAGAGGGAGTTTTAGGGGTTTGGGTTTAGGGTTGTAGGGTGTAGAGGGCCAGGTTGAGGCTTGCTTGGAGCTATAAGTAGAGTAGGATAACTTTAGCCTGTGTCTATATCCCAGATCATGGGACTTGTGACTCCATCTACAACTACCCATGAACCTCCAAGCCAAGCCGGGGGTGTTAGGAATGGTGAGATTGGAGATGGCAAGACCAGCAGCTCACTCAGGGCTTTAGAGTTTCGGGTATTTGGTATGACCTTCATGCATTAATCTTTAAAACAGATCGACCACAAAACCTGCTAAGGAGTTTGCGATGGATTTACAGAGCTGCTGAGCCACCTTTCACGCTGAAGCCTCCCGACGGCTTGACCATACGACGATCCTGAGTGGTACCTTGGTGCACCATTTTCGAACACCTTTTTCGCTTGTTATTTAGCGTGGCAACAAGAATCCTTCACTGAAGCCACCACGTTTGTGTATGGGAGGACTTCCAATCTGTTTGGATGGGGTCGGGGAAGCGGGGGGACGGCAGCGGTGGGGCCGTGGTGGTGGTGGTGGGGTGGTGGTGGGCGGCGGTGGTGGTGATGCTGCTGGTGGTGGGCTGTTTGCGATTGTTGAAGCTGATGGTGATGATGACGATGGTGACGATGATGATAATGGTGGTGGTGTTGGTGGTACTGATTATGCTTGATGACGCTGGCACTGGTGCTGCTGCTGCTGATGATGATGATGATGGTCTTGATCATGGTCATGATAACCATGATGACGCAATGCTAAAGGTGCGACGATGTTGCGTTTTGTTGTTGACTGTGACGATGCTGATGTCAAGGATGGCGATGACACGTTGGTGAAGATGCAAGATGCAGATGATGACAGTTGTGCATTTTGATGATCACGATGACAACGCTGATGCAGATGACGACGAACATGATGGTCATGTCATGCTATGTCGAGGAGGGTGACGAAGATGATAATGACTAAGAAAGTAGTGTTGGTACCGGTGATGATACGTATGTTGATGATGATCGTTATCGTGGTGATTCCTTTGCCTGTAAAATCCTCCGGCTCACAATTGCTATGTCTGCTGTTTCGAGATTGTTGTCCTGACTGTCCCTTTCGCTTTCGTTGATGATGTTGCTGTTGTCCCCGGGGTTCCCTAGTTGTGAACACCAGGTGTTGTGGAATGGCGCGCCGATGCGGTGACGGCGTACACAGCATCACGTTCATGCAAGCTCCGCGCGCCGCGGGCGCCCTGCACCGGCAAGGCCATACCTAGGCCGTGCGTGTTGTCGACAACAGTGGCACAAGAAGCGCAAAAAGCTCCATGCAAAGGCCCCACAACACCTCTCCGGATCGCAGCGATTCGCACTTTGCTTAGATGCCGTCGTGTTGGCAGCTGGCATCCAGGCACTTTCCATCGGCAGGCCAAGAGCCTGCAAGGAGGCCTCTGCTCGGCAAGGGCCGACCGGGGCATGGTTCCCAAGATCGTGGAAAAGCCCTGTGGATCAGGCGTCAGTTCTTTCGCCACTGTTTTGGGTCGATGCTGTGACATGCTGCACTGGGACACTGTAAGAAAGGAGGCCGTTCACGAACAGTGCTCCAGTGGGAGAGTGTCGAGCAAATGTGCGGTAGCTCCACCGAAGATCTGCTTGTCTTCCGCCCGCTGCACAGCCCTTGCGTGGATGATTCCTTCCCGCCGTCTTTCCCCCAGGTGCCGGCCGTAGAATGGACTCTTCGACCTTCCGGCACATGTCGAAAGCAGCCCTGTTGCAAACGAACGCCTTTTGGTTTGAAGCAGCGGGGTGCGATGATGATGGTTCGGGAGGATCATCCGTCATGCCAGAAGTATCTGCTATAGAGAGGGTGCCGGTTCATCGTTCTCTCTCGCTTTTCCCTCTTGGCGCGTACTTGTCTAAGGGTAGCTTTAAGTGAAGATGTCAGAGCCAAGGCGTGTTTTGAGACTTCCGTGGAGGCTGATCCAAGCTTTGCCAAAGGCAAGGCAACATGTCCGGAGGTCCGGCAACAAGATTCCTGTTCTGACTGCAGAGTGGCTCCGGCTCACTCCTAGATCGCAAGGTGCCCCAAAAGGTGGGCCTCGGGCTTCGTTAGCCAAAGTCTCTAGGCAATCGGGAGTCTCCGCAGGGGGCCAAGCACTCAAATCGGCTAATGCACTGCATGATCTCTTGGCGGTTGCTGCTTGGTTCTCGCAGCCTTCACAGCTTCATATGCAGCTTCAGCTCCTGGATGCAGCTTTGAACCATACGAGGCCCACAGTGCTTGGGTGACGGGGTTGCAAAGGATTCCTGTGCCATGGGTCCCAGATGTAAGATGACGCCCACCTTCATTCGGAGGTTTGTCTCACTGATCAGGCGGGGGCTTCAAGGTGGAAACCCCGAGCTAACTTGGCACCTCGTCCTGAAGCCGATCTGATACCGAGCTCCGCAGCCCCGATCGTCCGTGGTCACGCGGAGACTTCCGTGGGTTCGGCCCGGCGATCATGGAAAGTGCTCGAGACCCTTTGTCTAAGGCTCTGGTCCCAGCTTCGAACCTCTCCGCTCCAATTCCACTCCGGCACCCGAGGCTTATCTTGCGCTTCGATGTCGCAGCAGATCCTCCCGTCTTTTGGTGCTTGCCCTTCTGTGGCCATCGCCCCATGGAAGTTGGGAAAGCTTGAGGGCCCGGTTTCGCAGCCGGCTCGTTCCTGGCACTGCTGATCCGAGCCTGCTCGAAGCGTTCGGGTGGCTCTTCCGCAAGTTGGGGACTGTAAGGATTTAGGATTTAAGGACATTTGGAGTTTTGAGCAGTTAAGCGGGATTTAGACGTGTAGATGGCGTCTGGCGTCTAAGATGCCCACGGCAGCTCCTAAGGAAGCAATCGTTCCGTGGTGCAGTGAAAGGAGGCTTTTCAGGGCACGTTCTGAGCTCCCAGGCCGTCAAGGCCGTCTGCAAGGAGTCCCACATGGCAGCTGCGGTGCCTCTCTTGGCGGACTCGCCCTTATGTTCCGGAGCCTGAACCCGCAGTGATGCCCGAAACAACCCTGACGCAATGACGGGAAAGCGTGTTATTGTTGCATGTCGGCCCTTTGCAGCGAGTGGCTTAAAAAGACTGCCTCCCAAACAAAGGGTCGTCGGAAATCTCATTCTCAGCGCGCGTCGCGAAGCCTCAGAAAACGTAGTTGGATTGAGTTGGTGTGGTGACAGGGCTTCCGCGACGTCGCGTGCCTTGCAGTGATGCAAATGCCGGAGCTCCTGAAGCCAGCGCTCCCAAAGCTGGTGCCTCACGAGCATGTGGCTGAATGCCGGATGCTCACCGAGGAGGGCCCCCTGCTCATCGAGATTTGGCTGGCCTCCGGCTTTCAGAGCTTCTTCACCGCAATCCCCTGGAGTGATGTCCAGAAGTTGCCCAGGACTCAGCACTTTCTTCAATTTCCTCCGGTCTTCCCAAGCGTTTCATCCGGCCTACACTTGTGTTGTCCGTGTAGTCCGGCCTCGTACGGCTAGCGGCAAGCTGAGCCTCGTGGCTGCAGGCCACCGCCCGCGTGCCCCACGTTCCCCAAAGGCTCCAGACGTGTTTCTCTCTCCTTAGTCCGAGACATCCTCTGCCAGCTCGACGCCAGGCCCACGAGTGTTAAAAGCAGGCTTTGGTCGCCCTTTGCCGTAGCTTCGTGGCCCCCGTGGAGGCGGCGGTCCTCCGAAGCCCCGCGAGCCATGAAAGGCCGCCTCCCCACACCGTCGTGGCCGTCGCACCCACCCGTCACCTGCAGACGGAGTGCTCTGAGACTCTGAGACGAGATCTTCCTTGTCCTCAAGATTCCCCTTCGCTGCCTGCAGGAGAGGGCTGCTTGGACACGAGTTGTTGCTGCAGGCGAGATCGTGTGGCAGAGACCCCTTCCGACACGTCTTCTCTGATCTGCCTTCGATAGCGGTAGGATGCCGCCAACCTAACCTTCGAGAGTTCTTGGCGCTTGGCCTTCTAGCTGGGCTTTCCAGGGGCACCCGGGGTTGAAAGGGAGGCAACCGTCGAAGGCTTCGCGATGTAACGAGTCATGGCGCGATGGCTGAACCCGAAACCCTAAATGCTAACTGCAGTGCCGAGCCCGGGCTCGGCGATGTCTTTAATTGCCTTTACCCGATGTTGGTTCTCCAGCGTCCTGCTCCCAGCCGTTTGGTCGATCTCACCGTCTACATTCTGCCACGCGAATGCTCCGGAAAAGCTCGGTGGCTTGCCAGAGCGCCCGCAATTCAGTGAGTTGTGGAGTGGCGGCATGAAGCGCTCCCGTGTGATGCGCTCTGAGATAAGCAGCGGGGCATGCCAAAGCCTCTCCAAGGAGTTGAGGTGTCCGCACTGCCGGCTTGCTTGGGGTTCTTCCAAAGGTCTGATAAGAAGCCCGGGGCCCGAAAGGCTTGCCATCGACACGCAGCTCCTCGAAATCCAGCCGGGGCCCAGTGGCCTGAAACACCTGAGCCGCAGGAGGGCTTTAAAGCTTGTGTGCTCTTGCTGGATATTCGTGAAAGTGAAACGGATCCCGTCGGCTGTTCGGGTAGCAAGCACGAGCCCTGGCCTGGAGCTCGTTCTGTGCGGCTGGTCTCGAAACATCCGGTCGCACGGAGTCGCCTGATCCGTGAGTTTTGCCAATTCGGTTGCTGTCTCGAAGCAAGCTGTGGTTGTGACCTCGGCCACTTCTCCAGATGATGTCCAGCTGGGCTCACATCTAGCAAGGTCCCTAAACCCTAAGCCGCAAACCCTGAAGGTAGGCCGCAGCATTGCCCAGATGCCTGTCCCCCTGCCGAGCTCTCCGCTCGTTCGGGCCCATGTCTCGCGCACAAGACCCAAGCTGCAGATTGTCAAGCTTCGGGAAGGTTTGGCTTCTAAGCTTCGGGCCGCGTCGGCTGTGTAGCCGAGGCTGCGGGCGTATCCGATGCTGAGGTTTGATTTCAGCGAGCTTCGATATCTCGCCCCCGCCCACAAAGCCCATACATTCCCAGAGCTCCTTTTTGAGGCCTGTGCAAGGGGTTTTTGTGCGAGAGCCCCAAAGCCGAAACAACGTCTGTGCCGTCGAAGCTTTGAGATACGAAGGGGAACCTCGTTGGGAGGACGATGCAAAGTGGAGCTTTGAAGCAGACCTGGCATTCCACTAGCATCCATGGCAAAGTGGGCTCTGCTCCGATCCATGGCTGAAGTTCAGAGAAGAAAAGCTCCTGGGCGGGGTCGGCCATGAAGCAACCCCGGACCCAGATGCCTGTGCCATAAGTGAGGCCGTGATGCTTCACGACGCAGCTTGACCGAACTCCGCAGGACGTCTACAAGCCAGTGGCTCCAGCCTGCCCCCCACCTTCCGGGTGCGACCTGCGCCTTTCAATCGGGAATTTGTCCTCCGAAGCGAGGGCTCTAAGCATCAAGTTGTCTGACTGCAAGTGGCTGGCGCAATGGCAGAAAGGCTTCGATCCTATCTTCACGTTTGCCTGCTTGGGCTTGCTTGTTCCGAACCTGTGAGGTTCAAGCATGGCGGTTCAATGAGTGGACCTCAGCTGATCGTGTCGTCGAAGTGTCGGATCCCGGACGACAAAGTGTCCAATGTTTCTCAGATTTCAGACTTCTGCTGATTTCTGCACACCGGCTGATGCTTTCCTTGAGGCAGGCGAACTCTCGCGAAGGCAACGTGGCCAGGCATGTCTTGCACCCAAGGTTGATGAGAAACCGCACGGCAACGGTATGGCTCTCAAGACGCAAGCGATGCGGCGAAGAACGAAGCTGCAACAGCTGAGTTGCTCCACATGTCCGAGTCAAGCCTAAACCCTAAGCCTAAACCCTAAACCTCAGCGCAGGACTGCCTTTGCACCGCTCTTCGTCTGGCAGTGTGCTGCCAGGCCGCCTCTACGAAGTACCTCGGTGCCTAGCTTAGGGTTTAGGGATTGAGGTCTAGGTTTTAGGGTTTAGGGTTTAGGGCTGGCATGTATAGCTGGCGCCTAGCTGGGATAGCGGACTTCTCGCTCATGAACCCTGCAAGGAACTGCAACGCTTCCCCCGGATCCTTCCCTTTTCAAAGCCTCCTTCAGGAAGCACTGACGAGGAGTTCCGGCGCCATGTTACATAAGCCTCAAAGCATTCCCTTCCCGTTGTCACTTCGTCAGGTCGCTTGCTGCTGGCATGTTTTTGCCCAGAGTTCTGTGCTGCGGAAAGACGTGCACCCGTCTGCCCTTGTCGCATTCAGAATGCGAAGTGCTGATGCAGGTGCTGCAGAAGCCAACCTGTCTAGTTGTCACTGACACCAGCTGTCGCGGTAGAAACCCTTTTGAACTAGCCAGTCGGCTGAACCTGGAAGAGGCCAGCATCTGCAGTCATGCTTCGCGTGCGTCGTATGGCAATGCTTCCGATGCCATCGACTTCCGAGTTCGTGGCTATGTTCTGCCCTTGCATCAAGCTTCGCCACAACCTCCCACTATGGGCTATTCGACCCTAAAGATCCCTATTAGGACCCTATTAAGGGTAGATTAACGTACCCATAAGGTCTAATAGCCCATAGTGGTCGTTAGAAGTTACACAAACTCTGGGGCCTCCCGGGACTTTGCTGTTCTGCAACACTGGGTCGAGCCGGTATTGCAGGAAGCGCTGAATTGCTCGACGTGTTTTTCGCAGTGAGGCCGAGCGCGGTCACCGTCTTGTGCAATGCTGCGTGCTTCTCGCACGAAGAGTGTTGTTGATCGATGCACTTCCAGGGAAGAGCGCGATATCATTGATAAAACGAAGTCCCTGCATATCTCCCTCTGGAACCCGACTTTGGTCGGATTGCGTTCGCCTGTGCGTGAATCGCCGTCACTAGCACTGTCACCACTGCGACCGCTCTCATTCGTGTTCTGGCCATGCGATTTTCACAGCGCCGAGCCTACGGAGCCTGGGCACTGCGACCTCCGAGAAGGAGAGCTCCTGCGATGTCTGCAGCCTCTCGATTTGCAATCTCTCCGTTTAGGGCTACGGAAGAGCCAACGTGTCGAGGAAGAAGCTCGGGAGCCGACTTGAGAAGCCTGGGGCGCCCTTCATCAAGGGATGGAGTGCGTCCTATTTGGCTCATCATGAGCTTTCTAGCTTCACATCTGCCTTGCCAGCCGATGCCACGAGGTTCACTGGACAACACGTGGTGCGAAGTGCCTACCTCGCATGTCTTTGGACGGCGGGTGGAGAGCCAGATATTTCAGGTGGGATTTTGTGCTTCACAAAGCCTGTAAGCAAGGGAGCTGTCTACCTAGCAGCCACCCGTAATGTCCGTGCATTGAGGCAGAGCAGTCAGGTCAAGGACCTGGCACAATTCTTGTGGTGCATGATGAAGCTTCTGGCTTCGCAAATCTTCCAACTGGCACAGACAACAGCAATGCAGATTTCTCGCAACGTGTTGTGTAAGTCTCACCTCCCCTCCTCTATGTTGCCTCATTGTTTCAGCACGAGCTTTCTATCTTCGCAGTTGCAGTGCCAGCTCGTGCTCCCAGGTTCACTTGCCAACACAGGGGGGGAAGTGCCTCCCTCGCATGTCTTTGGTTTGCGGGTGGAGAGCCAGATGTTTCAGTGCCGGATGCTGTGCTTTGCAAAGACCATGAGCGCAGGAGCTGTCGACCTAAGAGAGAGCCGCAATGCCCGTGCATTGATGGAGAGCAGCCAGGTGAACGGCCCGATACTATCTGTTTGGTGCATTTTGAATCTGTTGGCTTCGCAACTTCACCAGCCGATGGAACAAACCACAGCTGCACAGATTTCTCGGCGTAGCGTTTACGCAAGTCGCACCTCCCCTCCGCCGAGTGTCATGTTGCAAGACCAAACTACAAGCCGCCAGCTCATAAGCCTCATAGTTGGTGTCTCCAAACGCAAATGTCGTGAGATGTCAAGGACGAGCCCGCCAGCAACCATGAAGGCACTTCTTTGCCCAAAGGGCTCCCCGAAAACGAAGAGAGGCGCCCGTTCTGCAGTAGCCTTGATGCTTACAAAGGGCTGCCGAAGCCTTCTCGACGGCCGGCCACGCAACGTGTTAGATTCGGGTGAAGGTTGGCATGCGGCGTCGCTTCCCGTGTCCGTTTGAGCCTTTCTGTGCAGAAGCAGCGGAAGGATGGCTCCCGCATTGTGTCTGTTATTTCTCAAGAAGCGCCCAGGACTGTGGCCTACCGTTCAAGCTCCAGTGCGCATAAAAGCGCTGGCCTGTCGTGAGAGCAGAGATGCCGACCGACCAGGCCCAGGCAAGAGCACTCTGGATTCCATGTTTCTTCCTCCTTTGTGCCAGAGCAGGCATTCTCAGACCCACACACAGCGCGCCGCCCTGCTAGTGCAGCATAGGCAAGCAAGTTCACGGCGCCCCGTGTGACACTCAGTCCGGCATGGACGTGGCCGACCCCGAAAATTCAGGAATAGCCGCAGGAACAGGCACTTCATCATGAGAATAGACGGGTCGTTTGTCAAGACAGCCACGGATGGAGTTGCATTCGCCGCCCCGTCCGCTGGCTGTTGAGTATTTTCGAAGTACTAGCGCTAAACTCTTTCACAACTTTGTCCGACGGGAGCCTTTTGCAGCCGCCGCATGTGCCGTGAGAGACCTGCTTCGAGCTTTCAAGATCGGCCCCCAGCCACTGACAGTCCGACGCTCATTTGCAAGAGGCCGTGCAAAACCTTTTTGGCTTCGTGCACTCCAGTAGCCCATAGCTGCACATTTCTGCCTGGCAGCTCTTCCCTAAACCCCAAATCCCTAAACCCTAAACCCTAAACACTGGTGTCGGTTGCTTTGGTCAGCCGACAGCTTAAGCCTGGAGAAGGCGGGAAGCTCTGCTCTTAGCTCAGAAACGAAGCCGGTGGCTTCTGCAAACAAAACCACCTGGTTGCGCGAGCTCTGAGAAGCTTTAGAGCTGCCTGTGATGTGTTTGGCACAGTTTCTCAGTTCTCCCTGCGGTGGTATCACGAACCTTCGCACTAATCTCAGGACCCATCTCGGCTTCCAAGAGCTCATCCGGGAGAGCGGTTAGATCCAAGGGATCGGAAAGGGTCTCAACCGCACGAGGCGGTTTCTATTCGTTTTCTGAGACTGCTCTGATGGTTCCTGACAGTTGCCTGATGGTTCCAAAGCCCTTGTGAGCATTCATCTACAAAGCGGCGGCCAAGCGTTCCAGGACAAGCTTGTGCAGTGGTCAGCTGGGAAGCCCACTTCGGGACGCCCAAGCTCCGCCTCGGAGCTGCCCGGACGTCAGCTACCGGAAAGCTTCGAAAGCCGAGGTCTCCGCTTTTTCTCAGCTCCGGTCTTGAGGCTTTCGCTCCGTCTCCGCGTCCCTGCGCCGAACGCTTAAAAGAACAAGTCCTCAACCAGAAGCCTGCGGGGCCAAGGAGTTGTGGTAGTCACCTGAGTTGCACCCCTCTCTCGTTTGAGAGCGCCAAGGCTTGCCGGGGGGAGCTGAACTCACTGCTTTGGCCAAACCTCGCAACTTGCATGTGCCAGTTGTGTCTTCGAGGCTTGCGAGCCTCAGCTCCACAGCCTCCAAGTTCCTTGGAAACAAGGAAGACTGCGGTCCAGATCCGGCCCTGCCGCCATTTGCGTGCTCGCCTGCTTCCACACCCATCAGCTCCCTTCACTAGTCTCCCAAGTAGGGTTCCAGACGGTGTCGGGACACCAGGGGCAGAGTGATGAGGGCACTCGCGTACAATTTCTCAGTCACCTGAGTTGCACTCTGCTCTCGTTTGAGGGCGCCAAGGCTTGCAGTGGGGAGCCAAAGTCATTGCGTTGGCCAAGCCTGGTAGCTCGCATGTGCCAGCTGTGTCTGCGAGGTTTTGCCACCCCCGCAGCCTTGGAAACAAGGAAGACTGCAGTCCAGATCCGGCCATGCCGCCTTTTTCGTGTTCGCCTCATCAGATCTAGTCGCTGGTCTTCCAAGTAGGGTTCTAGACGGTGTGGGAATGCAAGAAGCGCTTTCAGAAATTGACACGGCCGGCTCCGGTGTGCAACTACTCACCATTGATATTAGGGGAGCTAAGGAGCCAGGGATGATGATGATCCCTATCAAATAAGGAGCTAAAGAGCCAAGGGAACCCCCAAAACCAGTGGTTAGTTATGACCGCACCTGGTAAGGTCCTGATCCACTAAGCGATGGGTGCGGAGAGGTCGCAGTCGACATGGATGGATCGTAGCGGATCGTCGCCGATCCTTTAGAGATGTACCTTTAGAGTCGGAAGTTTACAGACTAGATACTCAGGCCCGGATTGCAATTCGTCCGAGCAGGCTGCGACTTGCTGCAGTCTCAGAAGCAGTCTTAAACGCTCAGGTGTTACATCCTCATGCCTAGCCCAAGTCACCAGCCTTTGGGCAAGCGATCTTCGGAGACGGTGCGCTATTTACTTTCGTAGCCGTTTCCGAGCTCTGCCGCAGATTCCCTCCTTGACTTCTGAGAGTCACTCCACCATGCCAGGCCCTCCTCGTAGTCCAGGCCCTACTCGTGGCCGATTCAGCTTGAGCCAAGCAGGCACCCCCAGCACGGACGTCGCATGAACAGTAGCCGGGTCGGGTTGTTTCGCTGCCCAACGCCGAGCTCTGAGAACTAAACTTGGGTTTGAGGCGGGTGAAGGCCAGAGAGGTAGCTCTGCTCTCCAAGAAGCTTCAAGAGAGTAGCGAACAAGGTGCACAATTTATTCTTCTGAGGTTGCAGAAGAGATAAATTCCTTCAAAACGGGCCCCCAGACATTGCCGTCCGGGTCTAAGGTAGGAGGCTGCATGTGACAGAAGACCCTAGAACGCTTTGTCACGCCAATATGGTTGTTACAATCCACTTTCGTGGCCGTGAGGGTGAGCTCCCTTCAGGCTGCCACAGATTCCCTCCATGATTTCTGAGAGTCACTCCACCATGCCAGGCCCTAAGCGTGTCCGATTCAGCTTCAGCCAAGCAGGCACCCCCAGCACGGACGTCGCATGAACAGTGGCCGAGTCGGGTTTTACCTGGAGCTTCGCTGCCAAATGCCGAGCTCTCGTGAGAACTGGCCCCAGCCGGCCAGGACCAGAAACTTGAAGACGGTTTGAGGCATTGAAAGCCAGAGAGGTAGCTCTGCTCTCCAAGAAGCTTCAGGAGAGCAGCTAAGAAGGTGCGCAGTGTTGCAGAAGCGATAAATTTCTTGGAGCCTGGATCCCAGACATTGCCAGGATCTAAGGTCCGAGATTCCAAGCCCTCAGCGGTGACTCCGATCCAAACTGCGGCGACTCATATAATCATTAATGGTACTTTGGGGGGTTCCTTATTACATATTTATACGATAATGGGCCCCGATAATTAGTTATTAATGCGAGTCTGGAGGACGGTGCTTAGCGCTGGCTGCAGCTCTGGGCTTGGCCAGGCCGCAGCTATCACCGGCGCTGCAACGCTCAAGGGCCACTGCAGCGTTGCATGCCCAAGGAGCCTGTTCTTGCGCCTGCAGGACGCTCCTTGCTCGACCTGTGGAATGGCTGAAGACTGCTTGGTGTTTGTTTAGGTCAGGATTTTCCAAGGCCTTCCAAACTCCGACGTTGCATCCCGGCACTTCGGTCTGCCGCTGTCGCCAGCAATGCTCGTTCCCGGTTCCAGAGATCTGCAGTGGGAGTCGAGTTAAGAAAATCGCAAAGCTCCTGGTGCCACGCATCGAAAGCTCCTTGCGGTGCGCTTCCGACCTGAGCGATGTGTCCTTAATTGCGTCCAGATGTAAGCCCTTCGGCAGCAGGCCCGCCGTTGCAAGGAACAGGACGGAGAGGGAGACGGCAGCGTCCGTCAAGGCATGACGCCTCGCTGCCAGTGCAAGCCCCCTACATTCCTACATCCATTCCTCTGGGACTGCCTGCAACACACAATGTCGGGCAAGTGCTCGTGGAGCATGTGCTAACGGCTGGTATCTCTCGTTTCCATGCTTGCTGCTCCAAGTTGCGCCCGGCGCCTTCATGCAAAGCCAGTCGTGAGCGAGCAAGCCTGCCATGTCAAGCATACCTGTTGATTAGAGCCGGGCGGCCCGCTCGAAGCCGGAGATGCAGCTTGTTGCGCATGGCAAGGAGACGATCCTATAAGCTCGGTTGTGGAGTGCAGGCAGAGCATGGATCCGCGACTTTCTCGGCGCCTCTCTACTAAGCAGGACTCTGACGACGTGGGTTAAGTTCTCTTGTTCTCATCTGTACCCGTGGGCAACATGAGGTTTTCCAACTATCGTGCCCTCGCGGTAAGGTGCGCCGAGGCAGAGACAAAGGCGTGTACCTCCGTGGCTCACTGGTGCTGGCTCGAGAGATTTGCAGCTGACAGCAGTTGACGGGGCTGGAGAGCCCAGGGTCGAGATGTTGAGCGATAGATTCCAGGACTTCTTAAGGAAAGGCGAAAGCACTAGGGTCGGACATCGGATGACCGTGGCGCGCTCTCGGAAGTTGCAGAAACGAGCTGTCCCGTGCCGCTTCTGTCAGGGCAACCAGGAGCCCAAGCAGCCCAAAGAGCCCAAAGCATCCTGGCGTGTACGAGACTGCCGGAAGGTTCTGTGCTCGGTAGACGACCCCTTTGCATCATTCAAGGAGCTTGGCAGTTGCAGGTCACATCTGCTTTGTCTGCCTGACACGCTCGACCCTCCCAGCTCTTGAGCTCTACACACCAGGTTTCAGACGACAGTGGCCTTCAAGGCTGGTTTAGTGTAGCCTTAAACCAGATGCAGTTTCCCTGTGTGGCGAAGGAGTCCCGTCTCACTCCCAAGCTCGTCTGATTCTAACCCGCAACCCTTTGAACCAGGCTTTCTGCGAGTGACGAATTTCAGGACTGACCGGCTCTGTCCTCTTCTGCCAAGATCCAGCATCCTCCTTCCACGGGCTGCGAGAGAAGCTGTAATCACGGCTCCTGACAAAAGCTGCTTGTTGCAGAGCCTGCTTCTGGAGCTCTCTGGAAGCCCTTCTGTGTTCAGAGTTCACCGACGCGTACACAGCCTGGTGTCTGTAATGCGCACCATAAAGGGCTCTAACTGTTGCCCTTTCAATGTCAGCTTCAAGGTCAAGGGGCGGCCAAAGCAGGAAATCTAAGTGGAGCTTGGTGCAAGGCAACCTCCGTGCCATCAGAGATT